CTATATTACAGGTAGTTCTCGATTTACGACCACAACTGAGCCCAGTTTTTGCTGCTAAGCGAGAAATTTGTTAAGTGAGTTTGGACCCCTTTTACAACTTTTACAACTTTTTTTGCCACATTTGTTAAGTGAATCACTGCAGTTGTTCAATTAGCAACACCATTGTTAAGTGAATCCAGATTCCTCATTGACTTTGCTTGTCAGAAGGTCGCAAAAGGTGATCACATGACCATGGGACATCTGGTACGGTCATAAATATGAGCCAGTTGCCAAGCGTCTGAATTTTGATCATGTGACTATGGGAATGCCGCAATGGTAATAAATGTGAAAAACGATCATAAATCACTTTTTTCAGTGCGGTTGTAACTTTGGACGGTCACTAAATGAACTGTTGTACCTGAATATGCTTCTGTTAAATATTTACCTTCTCAAATGCTGCCAGTTTAGGCAGAAATTTTTATAAATTACCAGAGCCGAGCAGAACTCTTAAGAAAGCTGGTGGCGTATAACTTTTTAAAATCATGAATAAATTAAAATTTCTCTTTAGTCTGCTGAGCCTGGTGGCGCAGCCTTCCATCCTTCCGAGGTAGGTAAAATGAGGACCCGGTTTGTGGGGGCAATAAGCTGACTTTGTATAAAAAAGAACACCGCTTGGGGGGGGGTGCGAAAGCCCTACTAAGCAGGTATATACAAAAGTATGAAGGCTATTGCTTAACGCATTGTAAGCCGCCCTGAGTCTCCGGAGAAGGGCGGCATATAAATCGAACCAATCAATCAATCAATAAATTAAATAAATAATAAAATACCTATAAATTCCCCCAATTTCCCCCATTACAGTATATAAATACCTCAAATAATCCAGACTGACACACATGCTTTCTGTTTTCCATTCACATGCCCTTCATGCACTATTATAGCACGATGCGTCTTTCAAGCGTATTATTGAAACTTGTTTTTCTTTGCTTCATTTAGTGGTTAATTATTCAAATCTGATCTAATGAAGATTTAAATCCTCGATCGTCTCTTAGTCCTATAGCAGCCATATGTTTTGCTTACTGAAACTTCCGATTGAAAAGGAGAGAACCATTTAGAAACCCTCTGGACAGCAACGGGAAGAAATGTTTCTGTCAGCAGGGGGAAAATTAGGAGTTTACTCAGCCAGAGCAAACTTCCATATGGCTGGCAGATTTATTCCCCTCAAAAAGTCATATTTATTTTTTTTCTTAAGGTACTGAAGTGTAAAATTACAGAAGGGACTTGAAAAATGGAGAGTATTCTGAGGATGAAATTTCTTTTCAATCTCTGGACTAGAAGATCTCCAAAGTCCCTTCCAACTCTGTTGTTCTGTTCTGTTCTGTTCTGTTCTACTAACAGATTAACAGAGTTGGAAGGGACTTTGCAGGTCATCTAGTCCAACCCCCTGCCAAAGCAGGAGATCCTATATCTGCCTCTACCTAGGATCAAACTTACAATCTCCTGATTGTGAGGCAAGACCTCCACCTCTAGGGCAGCTGGGCTAAATATATGATCAATATATTGGTATTAGCTGTACCCCGCCACCCATTGCCGTGGCTCAGTCTTGTGGGTATACAATATTTTTTGACCGAGTGGCAATAATTTCCCTCTGTAGCTCAGGTCACGCCTACTTTGCCTCTGTCCCACCAGTCTTTTCACTCAGTCGATTGGATTCAGACCTGAGTTGCCTTTCTCTACGTTTCTTTTTGGACTTTAACGTCGCTTAATCAATTGCTTTCTTGGACTTTTATCTATTTGGTGCTTGTATTGGGAGAGCTGCGCGTCGTGGGAGTGGCGGAGGCCTCCGGCCGGGCTTCACAGCAGTTGACATTTCCCGCCATTTTGTTTATGGGTTTGGCGGCGGCGCTGAGGGGAAAAGACTGAGGTCTGAATCCAATCGACCGAGTGAAAAGACTGGTGGGCTCTGCGTTTAGCGTGTGTTGCTTTTACGTCCAACATATGGCGCTGTTTTTCAAAAAAGCATGTTTTTACCTGTCACAGGTGTGACATCTATATAATATAGGTATATAAAAACACACACATATTCGAATGCAACGTTGTGTCAAAATTTCAAAGCAATCGGTGAAGAACTTTCGGAGATTTAAGATTTTGAACAAACGAACATTTACATTTTTATTTATATAGAGAAGATAACTGTCTCTATCTTGAGGTGGCCTAATTATAAAAACCTTCTCAACCAACTATTTCAAATCACTTGCAAGAATGATTTCTCCCATCCAGTCCTCTCCTCTCCTCTCCTCCCCTCCTCTCCCCTCCCCTCCCCTCCCCTCTCTTCACTCAAGGGATGGGCACCGTATATCTAGCACATACCCAGAAACTATACAGACTTGGTGAGACATGTTATTTGTTTTAATTATTTCATTATTTACTTCTTAAATCTGCCTACTCGCTCTTCAACTACATTTCTGTCTACCGAGCAGCACCATTGTGGAGGACTGAGATTATATGATTTTCTCAGTGGTGGGATCCTGCCGGTTTAACAACTGGTTTGATGATTGTGCACTTTGCGTGCACAGTCATGCTCTGTGCATGCATGTATTTGATGCGCACACAGTGCACAGTTTTACAAACACTTACCTTCTGAATTACTGCTGGGAGTAACACAGCTGAGGCACGGCAATCCACTCTGCCGCGCGAATCAGCTGAGAAGATATAGGTCAGTAAAGTGCAGGAATGGGTGGGTGGGCTCAACTGATCATCAGAGTGAACCGGTTAGTCCGAACCGGTCCGAACCAATAGAATCCCACCCCTGGATTTACTATTGTGTTATTCTTAGTTTGCCTTTCTCCTTCCTCCACTCATTCATATTCCCTCAGAAATTCCACATCCATATATAAGGTATGTATTCTTGATGACCTATGTAGGGAGAGTACATATTCTGCAGGATCCAATCTGGGTCGGTCACCGGAGCCAGAGGTTTTGTCTTTTCGGTCTTGTTCTGGAGCCCATCCTCAGGAAATGTCTCCCTAGCAGTGTGTGTGATTTGGGCTATTCTGAGTGTGGTATTTATATTGTGCCTGTTGTATGTGGCTTTTTAGATGTAGATTGGGGTGTTGCTGCCTGGCTATTAAGTCATTGGCCGTTGTTTCCTTGTGCTGCAAGCCCTTGCCTCCTAAATACCATATTTTTGGAGTATAAGACGCACCTTTTTCCCCCAAAAAAGAGGGTGAAAATCTGGGTGCGTCTTATACTTCGAATGTAGCCCCACCCAACTTCTCAAACGGAGGTTTCAGAGGCTGAAAAAAACATCAGAAACGAAGCTTCAGAAAAGAAGTCCCCAAACAGAGCTTCAGAGTTCCTGGAAAGATGAACAGGCCGCGTGGAGACTCCTGGGAGGGGCGGGGTGAGCGTGGCCAGCCAGGAGTGGCATTTGGGTGTTCGCCGAACCCCAGTGATCCTTGACTAGAGGATTGCCCGAACCCTGCCGAACCCCCAGGAGCCCATTCCTGGAAGTAAACAACAGCAGCAAAACCAACAAACGGTGTGTTTGGTGCGCAGTGTGCATGCGCGGATAGCGAACTGGTTGCAAACCGCGGAGAATTTTACCACTGATCATTTGTATTTAGAGGTTTCAGTGTGGGCAGGTTTGACAGACTGGATGTGTGCAATAAAAAATATGTGTGTGCATTGTAGGTAAGTATGTATACCCACACATTTATTTATTTATTTATTTATTGATGGATTGATTGATTGATTGTTCGTATTTCTATGCCGCCCAACTCTCCGAGGACTCTGGGCGGCTTACAACAAAGACAATATGAACAATATACAATAAAAGACGTTAAAAAACCCATACACACCCACAAATACACAGAAAGCTCTACCCACAAAAAAGAAAGCAATTGGCTCTTGCTTTTTTTTTTTTTTTTTTATTTGATTTATATGCCGCCCTTCTCCGGAGACTCAGGGCGGCTTACAATGTGCTCAGCAATAGCCTTCATGCTTTTGCATATTTATACAAAGTCAGCTTATTGCCCCCACAACTGGGTCCTCAATTTACCTACCTTAGAAAGGATGGAAGGCTGAGTCAACCTTGAGCCTTGGCGAGATTCGAACCTGCAGTAATTGAAGGCAGCGGGTCTTAATAACCAGCTTAATAACAGGGTGCCTTAGACCACTGTACTACCAAGGCTCTTTTCTGGAATGGAAAGGCATAGCGGAGGGGAAACTGTCTTAGGCAAGACATGGTAGCCACGCTATTTGGAATTAATACTTTGTGAGGTGTGTGGTCAAGTGTCTCTGTCCAGACAGGCTTTTAAAAAACTGGCTTAGAGTCGAACCACATGAAGAAAGAACAGAAAGTGCTAAAAGACGAAGAGCATACAACCATACAACCAAGCTCAGAGAGCACCACGGACCTCACATTTCAACCCTGGGCTACAAATATTCCCTTCTGTTGGTAGGACACAATGTGGATATGGTTTCATTCCCTTCCTTTCCAACTGACCTCTAGAGCACGGGTCTCCAAACTGGGCAATTTTAAGAGTTGTGGACTTCAATTCCCAGAATTCCCCAGCCAGCCATGCTGGGGAATGTTGGGAGAGCCCTGCTCTAGAGTCTTTATTATGACTCTATGATCATATAGATCAGTGGTGGGTTCCTCCCGGTTCGGCTGAACTGGTAGCGGTGATATTATGATGTCACCAAACTGGTTCTCTTTGTCTGGGAGTTGGGCCCTCCCGTCTGCCCCCGCGTTATTCCTACCATATATTTCTTTATTTTTAGTCCAGCTGATAGGCATGGCAAAGTGAATTTCCGCACCTCGGCTGGGCATATTCCTAACGCGCTTGCGTGCTCGCACGGCGATCACACGCAAAGCACGTGCACGAAGAGAACCGGTAGTAAAGCCGGTTAGAACCCACCACTGATATAGATGTAATTACATATATGATGTATATGATGTAATCAGATACCAGAAGAATTCAAACTCTTACAATGGAAGCCCAAAGTTTGCTCACTGTTACCTGAAGAGTTTTGACTTTGCCAACGAGATTATCTTGTGACATTGCTTGAATCGACTCTTCGCTCTCTGCTCGCCCATCAGGCATAAAAATACTCTCATGGGAAAAGGCCCGTGTTCCCATGCTATAACTGGGAGACCTGAAAGACAATTTGGATACATAGGATTTTAAGTATGCCCTAAATTATCAACACAATGGGCTTCTGCTGGATTTTCTTTCTCTTTTTTTCCCCCTACTACCAGGCCATTTTTCAATGTCTTTGAATATGTAATACATTTTCCCCCCAGAGGAATGGATTTATTATACCTTTACTTTCACCACTTAAATAATGGGTATGCATCTGTACATAATTCCAGAGCTCCTATACAAGTTGCTGCCAAATTATAATTTGCATTATGAAAGGAAAATGTCCTGGTACACGGGGACCAATTCTGATGACCGTATGCCATGAATTTCATTCAATTTAAATTGTATTTAAAACCGATTATGTTCAAACCCATTTTAATTTTGCCTTGTCCCTGCCCATTTCTTTGTTGCTGTCACTTTCATGCTTGCAACTGCAGCTGTCCACGTGCGGCTTAAAAGACAAATATGGTTCTTGGCTTGAAAAAGACCGAGCGTCTTTGGCTTAAACATTTGCCACAAGAACATCCAGTGAATATGAAAAGGAACAGCTCTGTAAAACCAGGTTATTCAAAGATGATTAGGGGATTGGAGGCTAAAACATATGAAGAACGGTTGCAGGGACTGGGTATGTCTAGTTCAGGGGTCAGCAACCTGTGGCTCTGGAGCTGAATGTGGCTCTTTCACCCCTCTGCTACGGCTCCCTGTCACTCAAAAAATGTATCGCAACCGCCAATGTGCGACAACCACCAGTACGCCATTTATTGAGTTTTTCAACCCCCGGTAGGTCAACCATGGATAAATCCAAGAGAAGAAAACAGAACGTTTAATTCAACTACATATGCTAGTTTTGTGGCCGCTCAATAAATAGGCAAAGGAAGGGTTTTGTGGCTCCCGGTGTTTTCTTTTCTGTTGGAAATGGGTCCAAATGACTCTTTTGAGTGTTTAAGATTACAGACCCCTGGTCTAGCTTAATGAAAAGAAGGACTAGGGGGAGACATGATAGCAGTGCTCCAATATCTCAGGGGCTGCCACAAAGAAGAGGGAGTCAAGCTATTCTCCAAAGCACCTGAGAGCAGGACAAGAAGCAATGGGTGGAAACTAATCAAGGAGAGAAGCAGCTTAGAACTAAGGAGAAATTTCCTCACAGTTAGAACAATTAATCAGTGGAACAACTTGCCTCCAGAAGTTGTGAATGCTCCAACACTGGAAGTTTTTAAGAAGATGTTGGATAACCATTTGTCTGAAGTGGTGTAGGGTTTCCTGCCTAAGCAGGGGGTTGGACAAGAAGACCTCCAAGGTCCCTTCCGGCTCTGTTCTGAATTCTACATTAGAAACACGATTCCAAATATGGCAATATAACTGTGCTGTGGTCCTACTGTGCTTTGCACAATTCTAAGAACATGATCATTCCAAAAAGATCAAGTTGTTATCACCTATTTTTAGAGTGCAGGAATCTGCCTCCCACTCCCATATTGAAGCACGCACAAATAGAAATGAGAAAATGTAAAAGATGAATAATGCTATGGGTGGCTCTGCTTACAAAACTCCCTTGAGTCTGCTTGCCTTGATATTGATGTTCTTCTGAAGATTGCCATTCAAAAATAAGAATCTGTTGCGATTATTGGTATCCTGTCATATCATAGAGGAACCATCAGAAAAGAAAAAGCAAGTTTGAACAAACAGATATGCTTGGAGCAAGCTCCCGCTATGTGCTCAATGGCCCTTAAATGGCATGGTAATGCTATGACAACTGTTGCCAGGATACACGTGAGGTACTCCTTAGACCACAGCGATGATCACATCCAAGGACAAATTAACAGTAGAACGTTATTAGAAATTTAAGATAGAATTGTATCTCCTAAATCAGATTTTTTTTTTAGTCCTTCGGTTGGTATTTCTACATTTTATTAAATAACTGCCTCTATACTACTACAACTTGCAGTAACTACAGTAAGTGGTCTGCGTAAACAGTTCCACCATACAAATTTACTTGAAGTGATATAGTAGGTAATGCTATAATTATAGCATTTTCTTACCAACGGGAGATGTGACTGACATCAGGAGAATCAACACATGAGCATATCCTTTCTGAGATTACAGGACTCAGATACCCTGACTGTTCCAATATTTAGGAGGCTGCCACAAAGAAGAGGGGGTCAACCTATTCTCCAAAGCACCTGAAGGCAGGACAAGAAGCAACGGATGGAAACTAATCAGGGACAGAAGCAACCTAGAACTAAGGAGAAATTGCCTGACAGTTAGAACAATTAATCAGTGGAGCAATTTGCCTCCAGAAGTTGTGGAAGCGCCAACAAGTTTTTAAGAAGAGATTGGAACAACCATTTGTCTGAAATGGTATAGGGTTTTCTGTATGAGCCGGGGTTGGACTAGAAGACCTCCAAGGTCCCTTCCAACTCTGTGATTCTGTTATTCTGATTATGCTTCTATATCTTTCTCTTATTATCTTACTAGCTGTACCCGGCCACGCATTGCCATGGCTCAGTCTTGTGGGTATACAATATTTTTTGACCGAGTGCCAATAATTTCCCTCTGTAGCTCAGGTCACGCCTACTTTGCCTCCGTCCCACCAGTCTTTTCACTCGGTCGATTGGATTCAGACCTGAGTTGCCTTTCTCTACGTTTCTTTTTGGACTTTAACGTCACTTAATCAATTGCTTTCTTGGACTTTTACCTATTTGATGCTTGTATTGGGAGAGCTGCGTGTTGTGGGATTGGCAGAGGCCTCTGGCCGGGCTGGCGTCAGTGAGTTTGTGTTCCTGGGGCTCCGGGACGGTGGCCGCCGACAAATATTGTGAATCCAGCAGCCATCCGGAGGTTTGTCTTCGGACGCCTCCGAGGATATTTTGCCGCAGGTGTAAGAGCTGGTTTCCCGGCTTGCCGGTATAACCGCCTTCACATTCGCAGCTCTCCGCACCACAGGCAGCATCGGGGTCCCTGCCAAAGGTATGGCATACTCCGTTAGTCGGGAGGACGCTTTGCGGCGGTTGACATTTCCCGCCATTTTGCTTGTGGGTTTGGCAGCAGCAGCACTGAGGGGAAAAGACCCAGCTCGCGCCTGCCATTGTGGTGCTGCAACATTAAAGTCCAAAAAGAAACATAGAGAAAGGCAACTCAGGTCTGAATCCAATCAACCGAGTGAAAAGATTGGTGGGACGGAGGCAAAGTAGGCGTGACCTGAGCTACAGAGAGAATCGTAAAATATTTAGTATAGCGTGTGTTGCTTTTACGTCCAACAGATGGCGCTGTTTTTCAAAAAAGCATGTGTTTACCTGTCACAGGTGTGACATCTATATAATACAGGTATATAAAAACACGCACGTATTCGAATGCACCGTTGTGTCAAAATTTCAAAGCAATCGGTAAAGAACTTTCGGAGATTTAAGATTTTGAACAAACGAACACTTACATTTTTATTTATATAGATTACTTTGTCTTATTATCTGATCCTTCATTATAGGATGGCTATCAGCTGAATGTCTGAAATAATGTATGATGGCTGTATTACACATGTTGAGAAAGGGGAATGTCCTCTAATGCTAATCAACAGGAAATACAGATACCCTTGAAATAGGCACAACTTTCAGTGACGAGTCTCAATTGTAATTTCCGATAACAAGAAGAAGGCCAATTATCTTCAAGCCACAGTTGTCTCACCTCAGACAATGCTGTACTTATGGCATTACAGGCTGCCTTGGGTTTTATTATGTCCTGAGCATGGCACAGTCTGATAGATGAAGATACTGAAACTGTCATCTTGAAATTATTTCCTTTGGTGAACAAATTATAGAATCAGTTCCTTCACAAGAAGTGTGTTGAAGTAATTATATTATATATGCGTATTAGAAATGTCTCCACAACACACCACTTCTGTATTAGTTCTAGGCTGCATAAACAGAGGGATAGAATCAAGATCACGTGACGTGTTAATACCACTTTATAATGCCTTGGTAAGTAAGGCCACACATGGAATTCTGCATTCAGTTTTGGTCGCCATGATGTAAAAAAGATATGGAGACTCTAGGAAGAGTGCAGAGAAGAGCAACAAAGATGATTAGGGGACTGGAGGCTAAAACATATGAAGAATGGTTGCAAGAAAGAGTATGTCTAGTTTAATGAAAAGAAGGACTAGGGAGACATGATAGCAGTGTTCCAATCTCTCAGGGGCTGCCACAAAGAAGAGGGAGTCAAGCTATTCTCCAAAGCACCTGAAGGCAGGAGAAGAAGCAATGGGCGGAAACTAATCAAGGAGAGAAGCAACTTAGAACTAAGGAGAAATTTCCAGACAGTTAGACCAATTAATCAGTGGAACAACTTGCCTCCAGAAGTTGTGAATGCTCCAACACTGGAAATTTTTAAGATGTTGAATAACCATTTGTCTGCAGTGGTGTAAGGTTTCCTGCCTAAGCAGGGGGCTGGACTCCAAGGTCCCTTACAAGTCGGTTTTTCTATTATATCTTAATAAATGTAACACCTCTCCTGCGCGAGCTGCACTGGCTCCCGTTGGTCTTCCGGGTGCGCTTTAAGGTGTTGGTTCTCACCTTTAAAGCACTCCATGGCTTAGGGCCAGGGTACCTACGAGACCGCCTGCTGCTACCGATAACCTCCCACTGGCCAATACGCTCTCACAGAGAGGGCCTCCTCAGGGTGCCGTTGCTCAAGGAATGTTGGCTGGCGGCCCCCAGGGGGAGAGCCTTCTCTGTGGAGGCACCCGCCCTGTGGAATGAGCTACCTCCTGGAATACGACTGATCCTGGACCTCCCGACCTTCCGTAAGGCCCTGAAGACTTATTTCTTCCAGCAAGCCGGCCTAGCCTAAATGGTTTTTAATGGGATTTTTAAATTTTTATAGACTTGGGATTTTAAATTGGGAGGCCGATTGATTTAATCTCTTTTAATTATTGTAACTTTTGTATTGTATGTATTTTAATTTTGGCTGTTCACCGCCCTGAGTCCCTTTTGGGAGAAAGGCGGTATACAAATTAAATTAAATGAAATAAATAAATAATAAAATAAACACCAAAGGTTAGATTTCATTCAAATGAGATTTTCAGAACTTTAACTACTACACCTCTCCTGGTCCTGGAAGATTCTTGGATGAGAAGTGAACCTTCTTCAAGGAAAAACAAAGTCCACCTGCCTTGTGAAAAAGCACCTTTGGGACAACATTGACCTAAATGACTGAGAATTTCCACAGACTCACCTCTCCTGGCTTAGCCTCAAGGCAATGGATTAGATTCAGCAATGGCAGCATGCCAAAATTTCATTACCTCAAGCCACTGTTGGTCTCTTCATCAGAAGACAGCGCTCCGTTACAGACATTTCCGAAGGAACTGCTTGCCTTCAACTTGGTGGTCTCACGATCTGGCGTTGTCTCCCGTTTTTTTCTCCTTCCAAACAACTTCTTGAAGGGCTGAAACTTACTGCCCTTTTTCTTATCTGCAGATAACAAGGCAAATTATACATAAAGGCTCATCATCATTTCATCCGCAAACATTCCGGGAAACAAAAACTTAGTTAAGAAGCCACTCAAAAAGATGGAAGTCCAAACCAGTTGCAAATCTATGGGAATATTTAGACCAGGAGTTCCCAAACTTGGCAGTTTTAAGACTTGTGGACTTCAATAACGTTTGTATTACATGTATTTTTATCGTTCGCTGTTCACCGCCCTGAGTCCCTTAGGAATAGGGCGGTATATAAATTAAATAAATAAATAAATAAATAAATAAATAAATAAATAAATAAATAAATAAATAAACTCCCAGAATTCTCCAGCCAGCGGGAGTTGAAGTCCACAAGTCTTAAAACTGCCAAGTTTGAAGGCCTCTGATTTAGACAATGAAAACACATCTGTCTATTGCAGTTGAAAACCCTATCTTGCAAAAACAGAACAAAATTCATAAAAAATGTGCATGCTACAGTGTTGTAGTTTTTTCCTTCACTTTTTATAAATAGTAGATATTGGGTCGGTTTGATTATTAGATAGAGAGTGAGAACTCCTCATCCGAAATATCTGTTTATATATTTTTCTTGTAAAAATAAGTTATGTCAACTCTGGACATAAAGAACCCTAACATAAGGATGAGAAATTTTATAACTATTCGTAAAGGGAGGATAATTTATCAGGACTTTTTTTAAAAAAAATTCAGCATCCAGCCGGAGTGGCTTTGTTTATGTTTAATGTTAGATGTTTGGATCATTTCCCCCCCCTTTTTTTCCTTTTTTGTACATATTTTTTTAATGTACTGTATGTTGTTATTTTTGGATGTATGTTTTTTCTGTTTTTTTTTCCTGTTTTGTATTTTATTCCCATTGATAAAACATAATAAATATATATTTTAAAAATGTTCTTTTTGGGCTAATTCCTTTTGGTTTATCAAATTCAGTTTATGCTTAATTATGTTCCATTCTTCTTTTATTATTTTATCCTGGGGTTCTTTCTGCAATTCTTGTTCTATTTGTTTTAGGTCTTTCTCTAATTTATCTTCTGTCCATGTTTTTGGAATTTTGACTTTCTTCATAGCTTCGTTGTATAACCGCAACATATTTTCTCCCAGTGCTTCTTGCATTGTTTTATATACTTCTACCGGTAGCCCATCAGGTCCCGGTGTTTTGTTATTTTTTTGCTTTTTCAGTACTTCGTCTAATTCTAATTTAGTTATTGGCCTGTTGAGAATTTCTCTTTGGTCTTCTGTAATTTTTGGCATTTCAGATTTTTCTATGTATTGTTTTATCTTTTCTTCCTCTATTCCTTCTTGTTTATATAAATTGGCATAAAATTTCTTAATAATTTCTTTTTTGGCCTCTCTGTTATGTTGGATTTCCCCTTTGTCGTCTCTCAATTGATGCATCATTCTTTTATTCCTTTCTTTCTTCAATTTATAGGCTAACCATCTGCCTGTTTTATTTGCGTATTCAAAATAGTTTTGTTTCGCCATGTTCATCCTGTAGTATTTAGACGATCAAGATACTTCTTTAAAGAAATGGTAGACAACAAGAATGTTTCATTGGTATAAAACTGAAAGAGGAAAGGCTAGTATTTAGATTTTGGTGGCATTGGGCGTGGCTTTTGCTCATCTTTCTAAAGGAATGGCAAGGACGATAGAAACTAGTCTTATAATGTAGCGAAAGAAAATTGCATTTAAACTGCAGAGAGTGAGAACTGATGGCAAATGGTAATTCTTGTTTTTATGTTATGCCTTGTCTTTATGAGCACGTAGCAACCACTCTGGACTATGTCCGTGCCACAGCATAGCACTGAAGTATTTATGGTGAATTAAAATATTCAGTTCTCAGTCACTGGTTGGTACAAGTGATGTCATGGGTAGGCAAAGAATTTTAACTAACAGTGATCCTTTTCTCCGCTCTCTGAAAGGCCAGCTGGAATGACCAGGGTCCATATAATCTTATACTGACTGTATAAATGATGGGCATAGCGGTGCAGTGGCCTAGAAGTGGAGCTCTCGCCTCACAATCAGGAGGCTGTGAGTTCGATCCTAGGTAGTGGCAGATATTTCTCTCTCTGAGCTCAGTGAGTAATTATCAGCTACGAACTCTGCATTGGTGCAGTGGTGGGTTTCAACATTTTTTACTGCCGGTTCTGTGGGCGTGGCTTGGTGGGCGTGGCAGGGGAAGGATACTGTATAATCTCCATTTCCTCCACAATACAGGGGAAGGTTACTGCAAAATCCTCATTTCCTCCCGATCAGCTGGGACTTGGGAGGCAGAGAATAGATGGGGGCGGGGCCAGTCAGAATTTTTTACTACCGGTTTTCCGAATTACTCAAAATTTCCGCTACCGGTTCTCCAGAACTGGTCAGAACCTGCTGAAACCCACCTCTGCATTGGTGACAGGAAGGGCATCCGGTTAGTAAGCACTCAGCTCCATTCAGTTGCCCCGACTCCACCCCGATGTAAGGGATTACGGGGTCATTAAAAGACAAAAAAAACCCCGATGGGCATGATCCAAATAGGATCATGGCCAGTGGTGGGATTCAAGTAATTTAACAACCGGTTCTCTGCCCTAAGAGCCTGCGTTCCTGGGTTGATTCTAAACTGATTTTGTAGCTTTTTAAATTCTTAAATCTTAAATTTGAATTGGTATTCCCACGTTTAACCTTATTTATTGGATATTCTGTTTTAATTTGTCTTTCAACTTTTGTATTCTCTGTTTCTTATTGTTGTGAGCCGCTCTGAGTCCTTCGGGAGAAGGACGGCATATAAATCAAAAATAAATAAATAAATGAATAAATAAATGAATGAATGAATGAATGAATGAATGAATGAATAAATAAATAAATAAATAAATAAATAAATAAATAAATAAATAAATAAATGAATGAATGAATAAATATTTCTTCCAACAACCAGTTTGCCAAACTGCTCAGAAAGTTAACAACCGATTCTCCCGAAGTGGTGCGAACTGGCTGAATCCCATCACTGATCATGGCCTTCATTACTTTAAAAACTGCATTCACAGTTGGACTGCCAAATACAGAATAGGAGGCAATTTGTAAACATAGCTGCATTTGAGATTCTGTATGAAAAAAGCACGGGTCCTGTGATTATTCTGGTTAATCCATTCTAATTCACTTTATTACCTTGTAAAATGTTAAAAAAAAAATCAGAACTTCATCGGACATGTTTCCCAGTATTGATAGAGATGACTATTTACCAAGTGGCAATTGTTCAAGTTGCCCTTGTAACTCCTTGTTCATTATTTGCCATAGGGAAGATATTTTTGATAAACTGCAAACATAGGAGATACTGTACAACAGTATCTCGCTAACTACAGCTAGGATACCAAAGACCTTAATACAGAGGTCTTCAAACTTTGCAGCTTTAAGACTTGTGGACTTCAACTCCCAGAAGTTGAAGTCCACAAGTCTTAAAGCTGCAAAGTTTGAGGACCCCTGCCTTAATAAATCATAGTGGTAAATTTGGTAAATGATTTTTATACCCCAAAGGCCAATAAAAACTCAGTTCTAAAGAGAGAAGAAAAAAACAGCAGATCATAAGAACAATTACACTTAAAATGAACATATAGTATATCATTAACAGATGATATTTTAGTCTTTATAACTGCAAAACAGAAAAATATTGGACATATTCAAGATCTGGTTGAAGCCAAAGCAAATAAAACTAGGATATATTTCAATTTTTAAAAAAATACCACAACACAAATGGTGTTAAATACATTGTCATTTAAGGAGACCCTTAATGAAATTCAAGCTGGAAATGGGATATTGCAAACCATTTTTCTTTTTTGTCTAACCCATAATTACCTCACTAAAACTAAATTGCAAGTGAAGCATCTAATTTCAAAACAAATTGCACTTCATATATTGCTAATACTATATTACTCAAACAAGCTGAGCCAATTAATGATATAATAGCTAAAGGCACATTTCCATTCCATGGGTTAAAGCATTAATAAATTTATTTTTCACAGGAGATCAATTTAGAAAACACAATTTCAGGATTTATATAAATGAATTGTCACTGTAATAGCTCTGATTTGTTAATTTAATATTTTTGTTGATTTTCAGACAGAAATGATAAAAGTTAAGAGGCCTCTTATGAACTAAATCCATCCATTTTGATTTAATTACTTTTTTTCGCTGCACTAAATTCATTTTAATCCATTTCTATGTCTTTACTTTTTAAAATCTATCTCAAATGTGCCTGCATGTACTATGTGTTCTCCTTCAAAGAACCTTTTTATTCCATTCCTTTGAGATATGCCTTTTTGTGCAGTTTTCTATTGTATCCATTTCATAAATGTTTGCCTATTGCAATGAATTTTATTTTATGCACCTCATAAATTTCCTTATAATTTATGGATTTGAACTGTGAACTTTTATACAATACTCAGAAAAGCACAAATCTTAGGATACTAATTGTATTTCTGTTAATATATAGAATTAGTAAATGCCAAAGTTTACCCTTCATTTAAGTTTGTTTACCAGTTTTCATAGTTTTATTTTAAATATAATCCTACTACAATTTGTTTATATTTTAAAATATTTCCCTTCAAAAACATTTTAAACCACATTAGAAGTTGTCCCTCTTATATTTCTGACCATTTTTCAACCATATATCTTTCTTATTATTTTAAAGTCTAAAATGTATATGCAAATGTTATTCTAAAAATATTTTAATTAAAAAGACAAGAAAAAAAAAAGACTTAAGGTATCTAATGTATTTTCCAATAAATCTTCAAGCTTTTATACAATCCCAGGTTAACATTTCAAACTACATAAAGACTAATTACAGCCTCTTGTCTGTATGACTCTTTTTGATGTATCTCATTATCAAAGAGCTTTTCAAACTAACTTTACAAATTATTTGTGTGCTAGACAGGGAAAGAGGTCAGAGAGAGAGCAGCTCTCAGAAGGAAGACTAGTTCACACATCCTTCTTGATAATTTGATGATTAGC